GCAAAAAAAAAAAAAAAAGTTTTAAAAGTTAGTCATCTATTTTTTTTTTCAAGACTGAAAATCATGTTACTTAAATTCCCTAAATGACACGAAATTATTCAAAACAGCGACGAGAAAAACAGAAGACAACGGGTTAAGAGAAAGACCGAGTTGATGTGAAATTAAACCGATCGTGCAAAACAGAAAAGGTTGAAAATTCAAGTATAGACTAACTTACCTTCAGCGACAAAAACAAACAGAGTGAGCAAGACAAAGACTTCCATTGTTTTCTTCTTCACCAAGTCAATCAAATAAATTGAATTAAGACAAAATGTCTACTATTCTAACCGTGATGTCCTTCTTTTCAACGATTAGAAAGTAGGCTAGTTGCTTTTAACTTGTTTTTGTAATTAAGTGTAAAGATAGAAAAAAAAAAACACGTAAAGAAAAAGGAGAAGAAACAATAAAGGACATGTATTACGTATTGGTTGCGATGTTCCTTTACATGATTGTGATATAACCTAGGTGTGTGTGTGTGCTTTTATTTCCGAAGGCGGGGCAAAGCGTTGTATAATGTCAACTCATAACAATTACAAAAAAATTATAACATGAAGTATGATATCCACAATGCAATTTTGTCATAATTATAAGTGACTATTTTCGACTTGTTAGCCCTGCTGAAAAACATCTTAAACCAGCCTCAGCTTGTTTGCTGGATTTAGCTAGTGTGCAGCAAAGGGGTCTGTTTGCTGCTTTAAAGGAGTTCATCTAGTTAATCAGGGAGACCAGCCTAAACCAGTGAAGACCATTTTTTAGTGATGTTACGTATGAAACAAAGAGAAAAGTGCGTATATTGAGTATGCAGCGCAATTTAAGTTTCGTATTGCATCGTTTCTCCAAAAATCACGTGATCAATGGCAAAGTTTCGTTTCGTTTTGTTTCCTTTCGTTTCGTTCAAACTGGCCTGTGTGAATGCTACCAGAAATAGTAAAGGGGATTTAAAACATAACAACGGAAGTGCTGTCTGATTCACGGGAAGCTCGCCGAAAGAAAACTGTTGTAATGGACTGAATCACTATGCAATTCATGGAGTAGCCTAACTTTATCCTGTGAATGTGGGTGATGCTTTTACGCCCGTGCGTAATTTGTCCGAAGCAACTTTTAACACAAGCAAGTTGCACATTTTCAATTAGTATATATTTTTTTATGTAGTTGCTATATAGCATATCAGTGCAGCTTCATGAGAAAATTAAAACATGTTCACAACTGATTTGTAAATAGGTCCGAATGTGTAAAATCCTGAAAACATAAGAATTATAAAATAAGCAACATTTTCAGCCCACCACTGTGGTTGCATTCGAACACAGACAAGATTTTTGTTTATAACCACACTCAAATGAAACAGGCCAAGAAAAAAAAAAAACAGCGCAAGGTTTATTTATTTATTTTTTTTTAATTTTTTTTTGTTATTTTTTTTCTAGCGAAGAGAGTGAACGCGAATCACCTAATGCGACACCACAGCTCTGTTTGTCAAAGTGAAACATTCTGTGGCCACATTTATTTACAGAGAAATGTAGTTTGACCAGATGGCTGGAAAACCTGTGCGTATTACTGGATGCGAGTTTATGCGTGTGTCAGTAGTTTGTGGGTAAAAAGTATCTTAATTTCCTTTCTTTTAAATATGAATCTCACAATCTGACTTCCTTTTTACAAAAAAAAACTTTACTGATGTTTGAGAAATAGTCCAAAAAGAGTCAAAGGTACACAATATTATTCTTACTTATGACCCATAGACACTAACATAGACTATTCCACACAGGTTGAGCATTATAAGTAAAGTTATACATTTATTCCATGACACTAATACTTCTTGTTCTGGTCTGTGTAATATATAGGTATACACGCAGAGAGACACTGGCTCCAAAAAAATAATGACAGGCTGAAATAATAAACTGCAATAATTATTTAACATCTGCCTGTGTTGGAGAATGTTTTATGCCACTATGCAGTGAGTCTTAATAAATGCTATATTAGCTGTAATTTAAGTGAAACCCTAGTGTGTGGTCAGTGAAGGGTGGTCGAATCCTGTTGGGGGAGGATCCACACACACACACACACACACACACACACACACTTATATCACACTTCTGTCTAAACAGCCTGCTTCTAGAGATTTTCATTATAATGTTGGCATGCTCAAAGAAAATGGTTCATGTTGTCCTTTTGTTCTGCTTGTGCTTGTTGCAATTGGAAGGTAAGTTGGAAATGTATGTTTTATGCTTTTTAATTTAATGTTTTTGCTGATTTAGTTCAAGCTTTGCTTTATATTATAATAAGATAGATTTGCATTTGCTATCCATTAAAAAAGATATTCTAAAATCGAACAGGGATATTATTGGATTTAGGTCTATCATCACAGGAAATCAAATTAAGGACAAGTTTAGTCAGCCTGTTCATATGAGCTCACCAACTCCATAAAAATGGATTCATGTGAATATCCCATTAAATATGTAAAGTAATGAGAGTTTTACATTCTCAAAATAACTTCTTTGCCCATAAATTGTTTTATTGTTGATTATTTGTGTGGAATCAGAATCTCTTATTGCAAAGGACACGTGTTTTTATATAAATATACAAACTACTTCACCGCCACGAATTTGTTTACCTTTTAATCTCTGACAAATCTTCCTTTTTATTTCTGGTAAAATTGGTGTTCCTGCAGTGCAGTCAGTGTCAGTGACGGTAGGAGATTCAGTCACTCTAAACTCTGGTTTCACTGAAATGGCGGATGATGATCTGATTCTGTGGAGGTTTGGATCTGAAAACACTTTAATAGCTGAAATCAATGTAATGGACTACAGCATGACTGTATACGATGATGTTCTTGATGGGAGATTCAGAGACAGACTGAAGCTGGACAATCAAACTGGATCTCTGACCATCACAAACACCACAACTCAACATACTGGACTCTATAAACTACAGACCGACAGTGTGAGCAAGAGTTTCAGTCTCACTGTCCATGGTGAGTTAAATATCAGTATATACAGCCTTTTAAGTCTTAAAAATGATAACATTTAAGATACACATTCATTTTTACTTCAGACCATGTAATAATAAAAAAAAAACTTAAATCACAAACACTCACTGAATGACATCACAGAATCTCACACCACAAGAAACAGCATGATTTACTCCAATGTTTCTAATATTTCTCAGCTCATCTGCCCATTCCTGTCATCAGCAGTAACTCTTCAAACTGTTCTTCATCATCATCATAGCCGCGCTGATGTGTTTATTTACTATGTGTATGATTGTGTTTTTAGCTGATTATAATGACTGGAGCTGGTTTCATTGATAAAAGACATGTTCAACATGTCTTGTCAATTCTTGAGCTATGCTCCTTCTTTTTCTTTATTTCTTTTTTTAAAATTCAACAAACATCTCTATCGTTTGGATTAATTATATACATATGTGCATATTTATAAGCCTAGCTATAGAACATCACCACCCTTTGCTGCCTTTCAGCTTGAAATGAAAACACATTCAATGTAATTTTATTGTAAACCACAGTAGAAATTGGAATAAACTAAAAACTTTGAAAATTAATTTAAATGTAAAGCAGCAAAATACTACTAACTCTGATGTTCACTTATCAGTTGAACACACTAATGACTGTTTCTCTGTATTGTTAAAGACTCAGCATCTAAAACAGTGCCGATCTCTGCTGCTGCTGCTGCTGCTGCTGCTGCTGCTGGATCTCTGCTGATTGTTGCTGCAGTCGGGATCTCTTGTATTTGCAGGAAATGTAAAAAAACTGATAAAGAAGGCAAGTGTTAAATCTATTAATAGCTAATAAATTTGTTAAATTATTAAGTGTTATAACAAATAATAGTTTAGTTCCTTTTAACCCTCAAGTTGTGTTGCGGCAATTTTGACCCAGAGAGGATTTCTTTTTCATGAAAATGCTAATTCAAGTTCTCACATTGGACTAAAACATACTGACTTTGCTCGCACATGATATAACAACTTTCCCAAACATTGGACAATTTTTGTACTTTTGGGGGACTTTTCCCAAACTTTTTCCACTTCCCCAGTCTAAAAAAAAAAAAACAGTGCCGGAAAAAAGACCAGCCTACAAAAAACTGTGTTATAAATTTCTAGTTTTGCTATATTATTACCAAATATTGTATTCAATATTTTTATCAACAAACTTTTTTTTCTCCAGTTATCACTGGTTTTATGTTTCTTTTTGGTAATGATTGATCATAGGCCTTATTGAGCTGAGCTTATGGACCTCAGGTTTTAAGAGAACATTGCCAAAATTATCCAAAAATAACACTTTTTTTCACCCAAAATCTGAGGCGCATAAACTCAGATCAATGAGGCTAAATTAGTTAAAATACTTTCAATAGCAATTATGATTATATATATATATATATATATATATATATATAGAGAGACATTGCCAAAATTATTCAAAAATAACACTTTTCTTCACCTAAAAACTGAGGCGCATAAACTCAGATCAATGAGGTTAAAGTACTTTCAATAGCAATTATGATTTTATATATATATATAGTGACAACGGGCAGCACTATTTAATCATCTTCTTACAGATGCTTCATTAAAACACACTGAAAAACACAGAAATGCTATGTTGTTTTAATCAGTTATTGTTGTTGAAACAGTTGAGACTAATGAAGACGAGATCACTTACATTGAGCCTACGTTCTACAAAAGAAAACCACAGAAACTGGTAAGATAGTTCATTACTAATTTATGTTGGGTATCTGTGTATTATTTCAACAGTTTGTGCGCTTTTGTATGACAGAAACAAAAGCGTGAAACAGCACCATATTAAATATGTTTAAAAGTCACAAGATCAGTTCAGCGAGTGAAACAATGACTCATATGTCATAATACTCACAACCCTTCTACCGTGTACCTAAAGCGTAACAGATCTGCATTAGTTCATATTTCCAGTGCTCACTCATGAAGTATTTCCTATGACATCAAAAGTCCAAATCTTCAGAGTTTCACATACTGTACATGCTTCTGTGACTCTTACAATGCTTTTAGAAACAAACAAAAATTATGTCACGGACATACATAAGATTGAATGAATTCTTCATTATTTAATTGAAATTGCTATCTTGTGTTTTTTACAGGATGTTAAAGAGGAGGATCGTGTGGAATATGCACCTATCGCCAAGAGAAGATGATCAAACACGTACCAGACCCGCTTTGGTTGCTGCGACAACCTCAGAGTCGGTAGTTTCATCTGAGCTGTTTAAAACTTGTTTATTGAGCTTTGGGATTGTTGAAGTGCGATATTCAGTGGTGGACTAATGAAATTCTCTCTTAAAGAATGTGCCATGTAATATAAGGACTTTTAACACATTATTTAAATCTTGTGGACCACTGCAACATTTTCCTTTTTGACTCTTATAGCCTCTTAAATAATGTTTTGCTTTTAAACAAATCCCCAAAACAACAAGAAACATTTTGCATCCTCATTCCATAAATAGAGGCTAATTTATTTACATCTGTGCAGATCTGCTAGTGGACAAATAGGTTCCATTTGAACTTCTTGCTAGATGTTTGTGGTCGACATTTGACACAGACACTGCTAAGGCGTCATTAGCGTGTGGTTGAAGGACTTTTTTTCCCCATTTTTTGTAAGTCATTGTAAGCCCTCTTTTGAGGCATGCGCACGAAACCCCCGTCCCCCGTTATAAAAAAAACAAAAAACAAGTGGGCTCCCCCAAAGTCCACAGTATAGTTCGAACACTGGGCCTATGGATAAATTCTCACAATGGATTTACTCAAAATCGTTCTGCATGTTTCAACATGCCTAAAGACAAAAGAAAATACAAAACATCACAAATTAACTGGTTAAATATTCAACTCAACGCTTTCAGTAAATCAAAACATATATGTCAGTAAAAAATCATGTTTTCGTCAGCAGTAACTGCTTTATTTCTCGGGAAAAGGACAAAGTTGAACTCAACTTTTTTTGTTACCTCTGGAGGTGGAATATCAGAATATGTTATTATTTATTCAGCCAGAAGTCCACATCCATGAAGCTGTGATCCGATTGGTCGTCACTGATCTAATGGGCGTGGCTACTGCGGCCGCTGTTCTTCTGGTCAATGACGTCAGATCCGCTAGAGGTTAAAAGAAAATAGAACAGATATGTGACCCTGGACCACAAAACCAGTCATAAGGGTCAATAAAAAAAGAGATTTATACATCATAAGCTTTCCATTGATGTATGGTTTGTTAGGATAGGACAATATTTTGCCGAGATACGACTATTTGAAAATCTGGAATCTGAGGGAGCAAAAAAAATCAAAATATTGAGAAAATCATCTTTAAAGTTGTCCAAATGAAGTCTTTAGCAATGCATATTACAAATCAAAAATTAAGTTTTGATATATTTACGGTAGGAAATTTACAAAATATCTTCATGGAATATGATCTTTACTTAATATCCTAATGATTTTTGGCATAAAAGAAAAATCTATAATTTTGACCCATACGATGCTTATTGTTGGCTATTGCTACAAATATACCCCAGCGACTTAAGACTGGTTTTGTGGTCCAGGGTTACATATAGATATAAATATTCTGACATATATTGGAGTGTTAATCGTAAAGGTGAAAATATATGTGGTTTAATTGTTTAGTGATGTTAAAACGAAGCTTTGCAATGCTCTCCTTTGAACTCGACTGGAAAAGGTTCATTACCCCCAGTCTGGTGTATTAAGGGCCATCTGGTGGCCAAAACGATGAATATTCTTTAATGTTTCATTTTATTGTTTAATACTATGCATTGTACATTTCTTTGTCAATTACACTGTTTTCAGTTTTTATTAATTTATGTTATACTGCTATTTTTATAATTGTATGCAGCAATGTAAATACAAACGTAATATTTGTTACACCAATAAATCACAATAGAATTGAACTGAACACTGAATATTTACCTACCGAGCTGATATACATCTATGAATCATTCACAGGCTATAACTGCAGGGTGTCAGAATAAAATAAACAGAATCAGAATTTAGAATGAGATTTTAATGGTGGTTGAATATAAACACATTTACAGCATTAAACTAAAGTAGAATCAAAAAACCAAGTAGACGAGGCAATCTAAATGCAATAGTTTCAGTCCAACAGCTTCAGTAGAGTGACTCTTTTATCTGGGAATAACAAATGCAAATCCAGCATATTTCTCAATATAAAAAAGAAAGCATGAACTAAATCAGTAAAAACATTGCTATAAATTCATTTGTAACGTACCAACCTTTGCCAAAACACAAGCTGACCAGAAGTACAGCATAAACCATTGTCATTGAGCACTGCAACATTATAATATTATAATGAAAATCTCTGAAGTGTGTTATTAATCCAGCATGCGTGTGGATCCTCCCCATCAGTGACCACACACTAGCTGTCATCACAATATACAGCATTTATTATGATTTGCTATAAAGTGACATACAATATTATATGACACAGGTGAAATTAAAATGATTGTAAGTTTGCACTGTAGCATCTTTTCTTTTATTATTTCTAATGAAGTCTTCTATTTGAGGCAGTGTCTCTATATACACACCAGAACAGGAAGTATTAGTGTCATGAGATAAATACATAACACTCAGCCTGAGTGAAATAGAGTCTGTAAAGCTGTTTTCATGAAAAAGAAGTCCGATTGTGAGGTTTGTATCAACAGGAGAGGAAATAAAAGACACTCTTTACCAACAAACAACTGACAAATGCTTCTGGCATCCAATAATACACACAGGTTTTTTACTCTTCATATCAAACATTTCTTGAAAATAAAAGAGACCACAGAAGTTTCACTTCAACACAGCTATTGCATTCACTGAATCATGTTCATTCTCTGTGCTAGAAAAACAAAAACAAAAGCATGAGCTGTGGTTTTCTATTGGTCTGTTTAAACAGAATGTGGTTCACTGCAGCGGGGTATTGAACATGTTTGGGTGAGCTCTAGTTCGACACATTCAG